ATGACCCTTCCCGTATTTTCAAATTTTCGACGCGCAAACGTGCACTGGGAAGGCTAAAAAGGTGACATTGATGATCAGCTTCAAATTCTCTATCGAATCATATATATAAAGAAGCTAAAAATAAAATAGTACTTGATTTTTGAATTACGCCCGCCTTTATCTTTAATAAAAAATATCCGTTGAATCGAACAAGAATCGAGTTTAACGATATTTTCGTTACGCTCAAATCGCTGCCGTTTGTCCTCCATATCGCGAGGATAGCGGTGAAAGGAAATAAACTTTAAGTATATCAAAAAAGTTGCCTGTTGTTACTGATTAACATAGTCTATGGTGACCTTCTATATATGCGATATATAAACGTGTACAGGTAGAAGAATATATGTATGCAAATTAGAATAGTTTATTACCATATAGAGTACCTTGTATGTATTAATAAAAACCTGCACTTGTTTAATCAAATTCAATGCAAAAAGCGTGTTTCTATATACAATCGAATAAGCTCTACAGATTGAACTTGGCACCAGCCGATTGTGCGAATTTTTACTTCGAACTCATTTCATCGAAAGTGACTGCTACGTGGACAAGCCGTTTCCAGCTGCTGATAGATCGTTTGTTAGGCTAGAGTGATTATTTATCAATTTATGAATATGCAACAAAGTGTAAGACACAGAGACACTCCTTGTACAGATAACAGACACAACCGACCTGCAAAAATAAACTTTGACTGGCTGTCGTATATCAGATACAACGCTTGAGGTTGTGCAATTATCAACGGTCAGTATCACTCTTAAAGAGTGGTAGACAGTCGACTCTATTTTTACGAGGATTAGCACTTTTTCCTTATGGCCGTTGGTTTGTGTCCGGATCCACTAAAAAATGGCACTCACGACGGAACCCCAGAGATGCCCACTTCCAATTCAGATGCTTTGTAAATCGATCGACAGACCTCGGTGAGGTAGTAAATACTCTAAAAGGATTCGGGCCCATGACTCCTGAAGATCCTGTTTCATGGAAAACCAGTCTTTCAGAAACTCTAAAAAATAACTAAAACCTTTTCTTAATGACGCATGATTGTGACCTGCAAATTTCTGATTAAAATGAGACATCTCCCACCTCTACACAACCTTTCTTTGCAAAGTTATTTAATTTTAATTTATTTCCCGTTTGTCTCTAGTACGTGTCATTCATGGAATCCGGTGTATCAGGATGACGCACGTTACTTGTATTTACAATATGATTTTATTGTCCAGCATATTTATAAGTTGGTTTATCGACGTATGGTAGTTCTGTAAAATATGTTTTTTTCCTTATTTGTTTCGATGTTTGATTATTTATAGATGAGATATTAGTGAGACTTCCTATTTTTCTTTTTGTTTTCTATACTTACTTGTTCAACTAATATCCAATAATGGCTTCAACAAACTTCCATGGATAGTCGTTTAATGATACCGTCTTCCTAATTTAGTCTAATTCTTTGTACGGTAAATTATAATCTGAACATATTCGAATAGATCTATTATTAGCGAACTTATTGCTATTTTTTTATATGATCTTGGGGCTACACTAATCCATTTAATCGTGCGAAGTTTTGCTTAAGTGAAACATTTGGCTCAAGTAAGATTTTTTTGCTGCGTGAGTTTCTCGAAAGCATCTTAACTTAAGGAGCAAGCATCTCGATCATCCTTAAGTTATCACTTCACTTTTTAACGTGAAAAATTATTTATACTTTGTAACTTCTTTATTTTACGCTTTCTCATAGTCAGACCCACAATAATTAAATAGAAAATAATTTTAGCAAGTGGATTTTCCTTAAAAATCCACTTAAGTTTTTTAAAAGATAGGCTTCAGGAAAAACAAACAGAAAGCTAAGCTAAAAGAAACTATGTACAAAGGCCTTTGCTGATATCTTTGTTTATGCTAAAGTTAGTAATAAAAGACGCCAATAAGAACCCACTTGCTGTTGTTTATTTGTTTCTAGACTCTCTTTCAAATTATTTCTAGTAGGGCTAACGTTTGAGCAATAGGAACCATTTTACTCCTTCAGTGCTATCAAACGTTTCTCTTTTAAATACGTTATAAAACTGTCTTACTTTTAGCACAAGAAAAGACACGATAAAAAAATATTTTCCTGTCCTGCCCTGATCACCAACAAGGTAGGGCTAAAATGTTTTTCTTGTTCTGCGCTACCTCGAGGGCAGAATCGTTCTGCCCTGTGTACACCTCTGTTCTGTATTGTATTTATCCAAAGGCTATGCTAATATTTATGCTGGACAAACGGGGAGTGTGGTAGGTATCAAAATGAAACAACCTCGGAAAAAGTAGACAGTAATAATCTATTTTCAAAACTAACTTTACGCGTAAATCAAAACAATACCACATTAATTCGGACGAGCCACGTATAATGGGATACAAGCGAAATGAAATCAAAAGGTTAAGAAACGCGACACACCTGACGCATGAACAAAATAACTGAGCCAAAATAAGTTAGTATAATGACATCTCTTTGAGGACGGTGACATTTGATTAGGAGACTAGGAGAAAAAGTAGCTTCAAAATAAAACGGAAAAACTGAACAGTCATTCAATTTTATTGTATATTTTCTTCTACGTTATTTTACTTCTTATTACTTACTTACTGAAGTACCGGAAGCTCGCTTTGAATGAAAAATGATTTTAATAAAATGTCTTTTAATTGTATTAAATATAATTTGTTTTTATAAAACGTTAAAGAGTCAAATACCGTACATACATTTAGTATGGAGTCTTTACATAGTATGCATAGAAAAAATGAATGGAATAGAGTAGAATAGAATTTCTTTGTACGTGAAAACAAATGTCAGATTTTCTATGCATACCCCAGCTCCTCTGTATCTGTTATGTATCACAGAACATAGAACTTGAAAACCAAACGCTCATATTTGAATTCGACAACAAGTTTTTGCAGTCACACATAAAATATTTCATTTTGATCTACGTTAAGATCTCCTTCTATTTTGAGTGAAGAAAGATGTTCATTTCTTCTACAGGATGGTAAAGAGTACCTCCTTCAGAATTTCCAAAACAGTAAGGCGTACATCAAGCCCTAATACGTCGTTGGTCCTATAGGGGGTTAGATTGAGCCTGCATGTCCATGTAGTTGAGTCGGGTCGGGGTGAGTCTACATTTGCATTAAATAGAGAAAACAATGTCGAATGTGGGTATATTATACTCTAAATGAAGTTGTTATGGGTTGACAACAATAGGATTAAAAAAGAAACTATTCAGTTTGATAGCCATTTTCACGACAAAATGAATTTTTCTCAGTTGGTACGAAACAGTTAAAAGTATTTTTTAATTTTATTCTAAACGCAAAGAGTTTAAAATCTTTTATTTTACACGACTACCTTTTGGCCACTTCAACTTTGAATTTCGATCAAATCTGTTGGATAAAACTTTTCTTGAAATCAGAATAGTTCTCGTTATATTCGAGTTCACGCACTTTTAGCTCCTGCACCTCGCAACTAGAAATCACGACTACTAGAAACACACAGTCTCACAGATATGGAGATTTAACGTGCCTACGGACTGCATGCGAGTGAATTGCATCGCCACTGTACGGTTGATTGTCGGAGAATGTTACACCTATAAAAGCTATTTCGCTCAACAAATTCTCAAGTTCTTTTCGCTATTTTGTTTGTTTAGACATGGGTCATTCACTTGTGAACAAAAGACACTGTACTAATGCTAGCAGTTCAATTGGCATATTTAAGTTACTTAGCTGGGGAGAAGCGCTTCGATTTTTGTTTGCAGTGCTTTAAACGCTGTATTAGAAAAGACATATTACTGCTTATACAAACATTAGTGTAATCATCCAAGCGGAACACATAATTACATGCGTACATTCACTACATACGAACTAGATATGTTCGAACTGTCACAATTGAGAGAGCATTGCCTCCATCCGAACAGGCATCTCCTTCTAATGTCTTTGTTGGCTGATTGCATCTATTCACTGGAAATACCGGAATCTTTCTGAACGTGACAAAAATGGCCGAGGCTTTTTTGTATTTCGATGAAATCTAAAAAAACACTCTCCTTAACGTAAACAAAAGGTAGTATAAACATGATACACACGATTTTTGCTTTCAACATTACAATCGGTTAGTGCATAGATAATACAGAAAAGGAACTAGATGATAAACATTCCCTAGCTAAGTCTAATGAAACAAGTAGCTCTTTTGCACACTACACGAGCGATGCATAGCAGCTAAATGTGTTTCCTCCGGATGAGCATAGGATAAAACCAGTTTTTGTCGCCGTTTATGATTAAGAAGGTTTCCACCATTCTGGTAATTAACATACTGTAACATATTCTATTGAACTACTCGAATCATTTTCAAGATAATGTCGAAAACTTGCAACAACATACTTCAACCGGCGATATCATCTCCCGGAGTAAATATTATCATTCCTATGGGTGGCTTAGGTTCAAGATTTCAAACGGAAGGTTATAGATTTCCAAAGGTGAGAGTTAATTTGCATGGCTAGTGCAATAATATATTGAGGTTGTTATATTGAAATTCAGCCATTGATCAATATTGTTGGGCGACCAATGTTGTTCTTCTTGTTGGATCGACTAAAATTAGAGCCAGAGGATAAACTATTTGTTGCTTTATCACAAGGTATTGAAGATGAATTTCATGTTGGTGCACAAATAAAGAAAGAATATCCACAACTGGATTTACACGTGGTGATATTAAAATTTCAAACAAGAGGAGCTGCTGAAACCTTATTTGTTATTTTACAATCTGTAAGTTTTAATCACATTCGAACATTAGGAGTGTCGAATTTTTATTTAGATGGATTCTGTGGATTTATCACGAAAAACGATCTCCTTGGACTGTGATTGTAGCTGTTCACTAATTTCACATCTACTTTTCAACATCAAGCTCCCACTTTCGACTACATGATGTCGAGTGTTGACGAATCACTTGACCTTTATTAATGATATGATGAGGTGAGATTGTGAACAATACCATACTATTTACTTCTCGGATATATTAGGCACATTTCGTGCATCTGAAAGCTCATGCTGTTTTTATTTCGAAGACAGAGGGAATAAACCTGTTTTCTCATACTTGGAAATGGACGAAGATAATGTTGTTCACGCTGTAAAAGAGAAAGTGCCTATTTCTACACACGCAAATACTGGTAATAATAACTCCTCGTTAGCTCTGGTAACTATATCTGATACTATGTAACATTTGTCAATTCAGGAGCCTATGGATTTTCTTCTGGAAACGCGCTTCTTTCCAGTTGCGTTCGTGTGTTAGACGTTGGGGTAGACACGAGTGGTGAATATTATATTAGTAGTGTTATTACTCAGATGCTATCAGAAGGTCTCAAATTCATTGGTATATTTGTGGAGGATTTCAGTTGCATTGGCACACCATGGCAATTGAAAGAATTTTTATCAAAGGTAAGAATGATAAAAAGTTGCTTCCTTTCTAAAGCTTTATTATAATACCTTGATTCTGAAGGTAACCCATAATCCTTCCCTCATTACAAAAAAACGAAGATTTTGTTTTGATTTGGATGATACCTTGGTGACGTCTCCTGTTATCGCAGGAGATTACTCTACTGTGGAACCAAAGTGGAGAAACATTCGTTTAGTACAACAGTTACACTCCGCTGGTCATTACATTATCATTCAGACTGCTAGACGAATGCGCACCCATAAGGGTAATTTAGGTGCAGTTATGGCAGATGTTGCGCTAGTTACTTTCGACAATATGAAAAAATTTGGCATCCCATACGACGAAGTTTACTTTGGTAAACCATGGGCTGATGTTTATGTAGATGACAAAGCCGTTCATGCAATGCTGGACACAGAAAAAGTATCACAAAAATAATTTTCGCCATTTATAATCTTTGCAGCTTTTGTTCATTAAGGAAATAGGATGGAGTTTCGCGGACGAGGGAAATAGCAGAACGCGTACTGCCATTGCAGCACGTTCCTGCAACAATGTTCAAATCAGAGGCGACACTGTGATAAAAACCTCTAATAGCAATAAGATAGTTGGTGAAGTTTATTTTTATGAGCATATACCAAAAGAAATAAAACATCTCTTCCCACGTATTATTGAATCACTTAAGAACGAAGCCACATCTACTTATACAATCACTATGGATAAAAGTGAGTGAGAATTTATAGTTTCTGTGTTTCAAACAATACTTCTTGTTATATTTGTGAAGATTTCTTGTCATTTTGTTTTAGTTGAGGGAGTTACATTCTCTCACCTTGCCACGTCCAGATGTCTGACAAAAGGACGATTTATAAAATTATTAGAAGCTCTGCGATTTATTCATTCAAGTCAAGCGCATCTCGAAGGTGATGAAAAATTAACAGAAATGAAAACAGCTTGTATTTATGCTAATGGTGCTAGTAAAGTTCGTGCAAGACTACATCAACATAAAGCATTGTATGAACAGCTTGACAGTGATGTGCATTTGACAGTAAATGGAATTTTAAACTCATTGGATGCATACGAACAAGCTGATGCTGGTGTTAGAGCGGCGGTTGTACATGGTGATCCTGTTTTTAGGTAGTTCTGCAATTCGCCTAACTTGTTGAATGCTTGATGTTTTCTTCATAACTTTTCTTTAGTAATGTGTTATTAGAAAAAGGTGGTGAGATTCGACTTATTGATATGCGTGGTATGTTGGGTGATGTAGCCTCAATGTGTGGCGATGCTCTCTATGACATTGCAAAAGTTTTCCAATCTTTGTGTGGTAAGTTTTCTGAATATCAGTTTGCATGAATCTCAATTCATCAATATATTTTCTATTTCCACTTAGGTTATGATTTCGTATTACTAGATTTACCGATGGCATCGAAAGATGTTGAAATTCTTGCAGAATTAAAAGAAATTTTAAGATCATTTGTACAAGCTCATTATAACATTCGCACTTTTCGAGATGTAGAGATTTTGACCGCTTCCTTGTTCTTCAGTTTAATACCTTTGCATGATCGACCGAATCACCAGAAGGCGTTTTACTCTATGGCTAGAGGACTAATCTTCCCCCTCGAAACACTAAATCATGCTAAGAATTTGACGAAAAGTCGATATATGGATATGGATCAGGGGATCAATAGAGAAAATTAATTTTTTTTGTCGTTCACATATTTTTAATAACATTGAATAACTACTGTTTTTAAACTAAGTATACCATATACATTAAAGGTTCGTGATCTATTAAAAGTTGGACATACAGCTCAATTTCGTATCTATCAAATTTGATACTGACTGCTAACGACGTAAGCAGAGACTATCGTAATGTACTGCAGTACATTACGATAGTCTCTGTTTAGATGGGTATCAGTTTCTAAGACAATGCGACTATAAACTTTGAAACTAATTGCACAGTCCACTGACTCTTTGTAGTTAGTTTTTCAGTAAATACGACTATATCTCTTAACATGCGTGGAGCGTCATTCGCAGGATTTTGCTGATCGCTGAACCAAACTTTTTTCATTATACTAGTTTCTAAATTTTCTTACTGAGCCATTAGGGTCTCCTCTTGTCGTAATTGTACGGAATCTTCGTCAGAATCGTACTACGTCTCACTCTGGCGAGCTCGTACTGCTCTACAATCTCCCGTATGCAAATGTTTTGTTGAATTTAAAGTTTTATCAAAAGAAGGTACTGTCGCTTTATTATGGTGAGCTACGGATTCCGACTTCTACAATAGCCTAATATAACCTTTCGCAGATTTCCAAACTATTATGATTTGTCGAGCTATCTTCTCCGTATGAAGTTCTACTAATAGTTGTTGCTTTTATTAGTTAACTTTATCTGAAAAACATTTTTATTACTATTTTATACTTTGTGTAATTCCTGACTATTTGAAATCAGGCCTGGTTTAGATAGTTACTTGGTCCATTTATGGGGATAGATATGTCAGCAAGACCTGCCTCCAATTAACCGCAAGGGTTAGAGAACATTTGACTGATCAGGAGAAATTGTTATCGACATATTCAACTGTATCGACTATTCGCTCTCTAGTTGTGAAAACGTATAAACCTCAGAAAAGAGACATGCATTGTCAGAAATAAATCTTGATGAAACAGATGATGTCATTGCTACATATTCAAATCTAAAAGTAATATGAACAAACAGCAATACACCGCGAAATCAGGTTTTGGCAGACGCTATACGGTCATACTATAACAGCGGCGGATTTTCTAATCATAACGACAGAATAGCATAAGTAGCGCTTACTAGTAAGGGAATCACTACTTATACATGCAACTACATCAAAACTAAATGACACCGATGGTTCGGTTCCAAACGGTATCGATAGCAATTCGATTAGAAGTTTATATAGCGACAAACGTTTTATGCCACCATCAAGTTCAATGGACTAGGATATTACCTTCATAGTTGATGTTGTTGAGGTTTTATAACTATAACATCATATTTTATGAGGCGGAGTGTCTCGTTCTTTCGTTATGTGAGCGAAAGGCACAGAATATTCTGTTTCGAAGAGTGTGATGTCATATTTTATAGAATTTTCTTTTTCTTTTCGTCATGAAAAAATGAAAAGGATGACTAACATAGGTTACTTTTTACTATTGCCGTTAGATCCTTGTTTGAGAATGGCCGTTTAAGGTCGAAATATCGCAAAAGAATAAATATGATTAAAAATTTCAGAATAGCTGTAATTCTAATCGCTCATTGTCAAAAATCATTGCCCTTATACTCAGGAAATGTTCTATCTATGTTGAATTCGAGAAGTTTCAATTACATAATTTATTGAAAAAGAGTTCTGAAACCTGAATTTCACTGTAATAAACTCAAACCTTTCTCCAAGTACTAACAAAAGTTCCATTCTAGAACTTCTAGAATGGAACTTTTGTTGGAAATATCGTTAAGCGGCTGACGACGATAAATGATTTATCGTCGTCAGCCGCTTAACGATATTTGGCATTACTCCTTCATTTCGTTTAACGTTGACCGAGGAACTCTCAGAATTGTTTCTTATGCACTCATGAAGGATTTTTTAAGCATATCAGTCGATAGAGCATGTTCGAAAACCTGTATTTGATTTCATTTCAGCCTTAGTTTCCAGTTATTGGCTGAAGCACGAGAAAAGGCTTTATCATCAGATCCATCTCTACATCTGTACAACTAAAATTTTGAAAACAAGGAGTTGGTAGTGCGAAAACGTAGATTTTCTTAGATTATCAGGTATACTCTATCTGCGTCGACATCAAAATTATTTTCTGTTCACTTTCGCTTTGGACCAAATTTTGAATAAAAGCAGTACAAATAACACTAGAACTTCTCTATTATTGATAAAATATAAAACGCCTAGTGCACTGTATGGAAAAGGATGAAGAAGAAAAAGAAAATGAAAAACATGCAGTGAGAACGAGAGCTTAAAAATTTCCACGATAAAATTCAATGCCATTAAGTTTTTTTCACTTCTTTTTGCATAACTGCAGAAGAATAGGATAAGAATCCCAAATAAGCATTTGGAACATAATCATGGAACGAAATCGAAGAAGATACTGAATGTTTTTTAGTCTCTAATGGCAATTGCTAAACCTTCATTTCTTTATATTCAGCTTTGCTTTTTTCTTTAGCTACTTGTGTCTCATTGCTGTTGTTCATGGTTGTCGAGAATAAAAAGAATTGACCAGATATCGTTATTTTTATTCTGGAGGAATATTCATCATGGCCTCGAGTGTACTTTTGCATTATAAAATGAAATGATCACATTTGAAATATTCTGCAGTTTATCGTTTTTTCCTTTACGTCGTTACGAGTCAGCGATTTACCCAGTCTATCACTTAAAGCACGAAGTAAGATGCAAATAACAAATGTGTACTGTACCTGAATGAATGTTAGAGAGTAGATACGTTTTCATGGTATAGATGGGATATATAGAAGACCGCATAGCTTAGATAAAAATAATTAAGATTTTCAACAAGCTTTATTAAGAACCATGTAAGCCCATGTTTATCAAATTGCCAATTAGCCGCGAACCGGCACAAAATGCTGGGTTAACCGCGGTCAGTTGACGGTTTTTTGCTTAGCCAGTGATATCAGTACAAAGTCTCCTCTGAATGTTTTTTCACTGTTCTTTTGAATGTTGAGCTTTCATGTGTTCCATAGCAGTAAAAGTATCGGTTAGTCACAGTCCCATATCGGTGAAGTTTTGGACTGAGCAGTAGCTACCTGCCTATCAGGACTCTTGGACGCAGTCTGGAAGATATTCAGATTAAGTAGAAGTTCACACTTCAAGAAGTCATGGAAAAAATTCTGAAATGTTTTCGATAATCCATGTTGTCCTTATATACATATAATAACTGCAAAACAAAAACGGTGATTGGAAAAGAAACGGTTAACCATCGGTTCTCCGAAATAATGCGGTCAATTGGCGGTTAATTTTTCAAACGCGGTATCAAAAATACCGCTAGTTAAGCGCGATTAACTGACGGTTTACAGCGAACCGCAGTTAACCCACGGTTTTTTATAAAAATAGGCGCTTCTTTACTTTCTTTCTGTACTGCACGTTTTTTCAAAAAGATCGAACAATATATTTTGGACTGACGTGAGACCTTCTCAAGTTGTAGTCACAACACTCTCCAAAAATGAAGCTCTCTGAAGTTTTGACAATAAACACCCTTAACCCTTTACCCCCCACAACAGTTCCAGAGGATCCACTGATCAAATAACTACTGGAATAGAGTATTGGTGACTCCAATATGGCAATAGTATGGACAGATCGATCAGGCGCACGCTCGTTTGTGC